TTGCCTGCTGAAACCACAAATAGCCTGAAATATAAGCACGGTAAATATTTTCTGTTGTTAGTTTTACAGTGTCCATTCACTGACAGCATGAATAACCTCAGTAATCAAGCACCTAGAATCAAACCAAGATTTATTCCTTCAATATCTGCTACCCACAAACAAAGCAGTTTGTGCTTTGTTTCAGCCAATATTCTATAAACAAAGTGAGTCCAAACCAGTACCAAAAATATAATATATATATATATTTTCTTCATAAAAGAACTGGATTTATTTACTGTAGAATAATTGGAAATGTTTGTTCACCTCTACTCATAATACTATGTTAGAGAGATTTTCACTAAATTCAGGATGCAGTGAAAGCAAGTAAAACCATCACGAAACCCTGTCTTAATCCGAACTTCAGGTCGGGCAAGTCTGGGCAATACTTATTTATCTGGCTTATCATGCTTAAAGCATGGGACAACAGTGCGGCCATCGAAAGCGTCTCAGGAACAGGAAAGGATCTGGACTACCTGAATCATGTCAAATTTGCCTAGATGAACATTTAGGGGAGAGAACATGCTCTATATGATTGTGTTCTTTTGAAACAGCTTAAATCAGGCTTTCATTTTATTTATATATTTAGACTGCTGCTGTTCTACCTTTGCCAGTGTGTATTTGTAATGCTTACTGAGACTTCACAGTTCTTGTGAGGGCAATCCCCCATTTCCTGCTCCCCCATCTTTGGACAGAAGTGCCCATCAATAACAGTACCCTCAGACTGTACTCTATTGCTTGTATAATTAATTTAAACAAGTGAAATACAACCTCATACTAACGCTGTTCAAAGAAACTTGACAGAACCTGAATATCACCCAATAAACCAGCAATAGCAAAAAGCAAAGCATTCCTCTAACAACAACAAAAAAGGAAGATTTTCTGTGCAACTACAGCAAAAACATGTTTGGTTCTTAAGGGAATGGCATCGTAAGGCTTATTGAAATAAAGAAAGGCCTGAGGTAACTCTTTTGTCCAGTCCAATTAGACCTGCCAAAGGCTCACATCATTTATCGCAATTCTTCAGTTTGGGATTGCTTTCAATTGTCCCTACCTTGTATCACCTTAGAAGGCATCATGTTCACCCTGACTCATGGACAGTTGTGTTTTATGTTGTAATTTGCTAGAAAAGCTATCATGAACAAGTGGGAGAATTTTACGAACAAAACATCTTCTCAGTGAAAATAGCAGCTTTACTCCTACATTCACTTAGCAGCAGGATGCAGAAAGTGTCCTGGGGCTTCTGATTTATTGCTGAATGAACTTCAGATGCCCGTGGAAAGTCTGCTAAATATATACCTAATTGCCTATTTCTTTTATCTTAGCCCCACTGATAAACAAGCTTCAACAACAGCAGTTGATACATTCTGAATTCTTTATCAGCACATCTATGCAAAATTAAAGGGAGTTTGCGCAAAGCCCCAGCTCAAGAGGCATGCCAGTATTTTATACGCAGTGTGACTGGAGCCCATTCTTGGATACTTGCTTTCATGTGCGGAGGAAGTTTTCTTATAAATTACAGTCTTCCTTTTACATTACAAGCACAGCAATTTTATACCTCCCAATTTTTCTGCTTGAAAATTTGCATATTTATGTAATACTAATCAGACACCAAATTTTGCTGTTTTGAATATTCAGCAACAAGGAAAGGGAGAGCAAAACTCTGCTTCTCAGCCTGCTGCCACTTCAGTGACTCAGCTTTGCTGACAGGCAATTAACAAGGGTGAAGATTTGGAACTCAGAAAGAAAAAAGAATTGGGAGAGACAAGCCCGTATGACCCATGCATCATCTCTATAAACCTGGATTCCCACTTGCAATGCTCACTCAATGCTCAGAAATACGAAGTTGCCTCTGGACTCTTTGATTATACAAGGAAGTAAAGGCTAACCTTTCAGAATACAGGCATCTTTCATTTGGACATAGGGTGGTATCAAACCCCATAGTATACAGTATATCATATATACTGTATTTTTATTCTCTTCCTTTTAATTGGAGTATCCTTGCAATTATCACCCCACTCCACTAATCAAGAGCTGCTGTTTTTTTTTTTTTTTTTTTTTCTTCAGAGATGTGCTCCAAATTCACCTCTCCAATTACTCCTTTATATTACAAATTATTTTGAGGCAAATCTGTGTCTTGTATTTTGGGATTACCAACTTCGTATGTTGGTAGACTCTTATTTTCTTTCTCTCGCTCATGCAGTTGGTCTATTATACTGTACGTGCTTCAAGGTAAAGACTTTACCTTTCTTGTGACGTAATTGTTTTCTTGCTATAACAATGGTTATTAAACTGGCAGCAAGTTGATCATATTTCTCAACAAATTCCTCATGTTCTCCAACCTACCAGTTAACCCTACCCACAGCTGTAACCTGCTGCCCTCACTGACCCAATTTTCAGTACCAGGATTGCTTATCATCTGCTACAGACATTATTAATGCAGCCCTTCTTCCTTTCCCTCTTCTTCAAACCCACGTGCTTCAATTTTCACACTGCTTTCAGCACCCTCTGTCACTGCAATTCGGACGAGGTTTCAGTCAGAAGCTGTATGAAACTGCTCCTCTTGCCAAATTTGTAAAGAAAATGTATGGGCACATCCCAGAATCACAGCACAAAACAGCAAAGCTATAAATCAATGCTTAGGTTTTGATGTTTTCTAGATAATGTATTTCTCTGCTATTAATAATTTCTCTGCTATTAATACTTTGAGGATTTTTCAGTCAGACTACTTAGACAGCCTTTGGCTGTATTAGGCATCGCTTCCACTAGCTATGTTAATCTTTAATTGAATTTTTCCCTAGTCCTAGCAAGAGCTTCCTGCAGGATGACACTTGGCTGTGGCAGTTCACAGAAATCACTTGAGATGGTGCAAGCCTTCAGTTCTGATTATAAACACAATGTTATTTTAAACACTTCAAGTTAAATTACGTACTCTCCAAAACTTGACTACCATAGCAAGGACGTAAAGGATGGAAAAAACCTGACCTTGTTATTTTCAGATTTCTCAAAAAGGAAAAACTGCTTCCAGTTAAACTGTGAGAAAACCAGTGAATTACTTCAAAATGTGCACTTTGGATGAGATTAAGCTGCACTTTTTTAACTATTCAGTAAGGCAAGCATACAGCAATTTTCTGGTAAAGCTTTGTGTGAGTAATGAAAATTTAAATTCAGTAGTTCCCTCCTTGCTATTTCAAATAATATGGTATAGTGTTTAAATACTATGCAAGAGTCATAGCTAAACACATACAGCAGCACCATAGCAAAAACTCAAAGCACTCAAAAAAGACTGTAAATTTGTTATTTAACACTATTCAAGGAGAAAAGAAAACGCAGTGAAAGTTCCTTTTCAAGCTGACATCATCTGACTGAACCTTCTCTGAAGCTGAGTCATGTGCTGCAGAATCCAGTGGCAGTCGCCTTAGTAGAATTTAGTCCTCACTCCATTTCCCAATATAAAAGAGTGCTAGAGTTAGATGAAAACATATGAATGAGAGTGCCACCATCTTTCCATTTGAGATCAGGCAAGTGGAAAAAATAGCTTACTTCCTTTGCAGAAATTCTGTGAATGGCTAAGTTAGCTTCAATGACGAGCTAAGGAAAGGGAACTAAAGATGCTTAAAATACATATCATCAAGCTATCAAGCTATCAAGAGATATCAAGAGATATTATCAAGCTATCAAGAGATTTTAAACGTAGTTTGTGTGTCTGTCCACTTTCTCCTTTTGTCACGGGGCTTCATCAACTCAGAGCACAGTAAGGACCATGTATTATCACATTATCTTTGGAGTCATTAAACACTGAATGTGACTACTGTCTTCTCTGTTATATTAGAGTTGATGACATAGCTTCTTTTAATGCACTTAGGTCTTATCCTGTTTGCATTAACAACATCCCATAGAGAAACCTTTAAGTAGGATTTGGAAAGGAAACTTGTGGCAAAGAAGTTGACATTTGTGGCTGTAAATCCTTTTAAATGATTAAATAAGGAGCTCACTAATCTCTGTAGGTAAACCTCTGCAAAGGGTAACATTTTTGGCAATCCTGGTGATTCTCAAAGATGAAACTGTCACTCTGCATCTTCTGCTGTAATGAGAGACCCCTCTTGCTTTCCCAGGAATACAGAGATATGGGTTAGTTCTGTTCATACTATAGAATGAAGGATCCTGAACAAAGAAGAGCGAAGTCAAGGCCTTCTTCCAATCCCCCCTCAAACACAGGCGCATGCTCCTGGATTAGGGCATTTGCTCTCTTCGTAAAGGTAACTCGTACTGTTGCTACAGAAGAACCTGAATGCGTTTCTGCACTGGGGTACATCATGGCATTTTCTGACTAGTCAGCAGCTTTGTGGATATAGAAGATCACTGCTGAAAAATTAAGTGTAAGATACTTGTGCGTTTTTGTGTGCATAGAGGTGGGCGTACCAAGAAAGAGAGCGAGAGAGTGTGCGAATGTAAGCAGCTGCCTTTATCTGGGAAAGAGATGAGAATGACATCTATTTATTTATTTATTTATGAATTTATTTATACATTTAGAATTTTCCTAAGCTCACTGTGTTTTCTGTTAGAGCTAAACACGCTGATAAAGCACACACCGAAAGCTACTAAGAAAATCCTGACATCAAGCTTTGTTTCTGGTCAGTGTCTTTGTTAATTAGTATTTTTCCTTCTATTCCCCTGCCACCTTTTTTGACAACACAAGCATCTGCTTGCTAACCTAGGGTCATGTTGTCTCCAGCTCATTTTTATTTTAAAATCAGCTCCGCTCCTCTATATTTCCTATTAACTGCATGGTAAATACGATGGCACTTCAGCAAATAGTATTTTTCAACTCCTAGTTACGTCTGAAAGTCTCCTCGGCACTTTGGGTTAGACAATAATGCCAGTGGACCATATGCTATTAGAAAATAGTTATTGCCAAGCTTGTGTGATGCTTAACATTTGAGGAAAAGGATATGCTTACTCACCATAAAGGATATATGCCAAGCCTACTGACAATGAAGACAATGGCAAACGAAAGGAACAAAAGGTCACTCAGTTTTTGACACTTGCGGTAGTTTGCCATTTTGGCAGCCTGCAAAAGAAAGAAAAGGCTGTTTACTTCTGTGAGGACAACTGAGTTTTCTTGTACTGTGTATAAGAGTGAGAAGAAATAATCAAATTTTGATCAAATCACTATCATTTTCATTGTGCCTCCAGCCTGTGCCTCCTTGCAGTGGGCTGGAAAACTACTACTCAGAAGAAAACAGACTACATAAAAACAGAGAGCATGTCTAATTTCTTTCTTCTCCATTCAATTTCCTTTTTTCAAACTCTTCTGTTTCAGATTCACAAAACACTTTTAAACCTTCTACTGCACCCCACTGTGTTTCTGCTATCCTTGTCCTCACATACAGGACAGATGTATCTTTACTTACTTTACCTGCCACTATCTACATTTGCCTCTCATCTTTCCATTTCCCTTCTCTTGAACCTAATAAAACAACTTCATCTTTCCCACTGTGCCCCACTTGCACTGGCAGCAGCTATCCATCTTCCACCTTTCCCACAGTCTCTGACCTCCTACTGTCTGCTATATGTAAGATGTGCCTCCAGTTCTCTATTGTGCACCATTTCCTCTGGTCTCCTGCAGAATCCTTTCTTCCTTTCTGGCCTTTCAGACCAGTTTCTGCCTCTAGGATTACACCACTCCCCTTCAAATCTTTTCCATGGTTTTCCATTCTATTTCTTCCTTCCCCTTTCAGTTACTGCCAAACTTGTTGCCTTAAGTAACATTTTTAGCTGCTTCTCTCATTTCTCTTTAAGCAGTCTTCCAGTTCTTCCTCTATGGAGGAGAGAGGTCAACTAATTCCTTTGCACTCAAACATTTCTTTAAAATACTGAGCTTTCCTAAATTTCCCTGTTGTCTTCCTCTGAAGAAAACAGCATGTACAAGCAAGCAAGCTTGTTTTAAGACAGCTATGCACATTCTTGTGTGTAAGCAAAGTACACATCTACTTCAAGATAGGAACAATCTCTCTTTGTGCTTTGTGCCAAATTAATATAGGGGAATCACTGCACAGTAAAAAAAAAAAATTAAATACACAAAGCACCTCATTTAATGCCCTTTAATGCCCATACTAGGCCCTAGCAGCCCTTTCAAGGGCACCCTCTGAAGGGTTCAACCTTTTAAGACAAGGTTAAAAATGATTACACATATAGACTTGCCAGAGTGCTAAGAGTAAGCAAAATTGTCACAAGTGCTCATATAGAATATTATTCTGAATGTAGAATTCACAGTAGAGAATCCTCTAAAATGCTGAGAGACACTTACATTGTTCCCAAGTTTTTGACTGAAACTCACTGAATCTGGAAGCAGATTCGTTACCCTTCAGATTCCAAGATCAACCTGCCCTTCTGGCTATTACGTAACGTCCAAAATGTTTCCATTCAAAGCTTGAACTCAAAAGATACTCCTGCTTGCTGAAAGGATGTCAAGAGCATAAGGAAAGCTACCAGTGGTGCTAGCTAAATATTAACTTCCAGAGTTAGTGGTATATTTTAGTGGATACAAATAAAACTCCTAGTACTTTATACTCAGAGTCAGGTTTAAGGGAAAGTGAATATTTTGGATGCCAAAATGTAAAGCAGAAGAGGTGTATTTGTAAGATCTCGATTTTCAGATGGCTAAAAGTCCAACTAGGAATTCTGGATGTATTTCCACAATAGTCTAAAAAAGCTGATTTCAGAGCGTGTGGAGCTGATATTGCTATAGCAACCTGCAGCAATAACACGGCACTGCTCAAAAATAGTGCAGCTGCTGGGTCATCGTTCCTGGATAACAGGTTTACAAGCTGCACTGCAAAAAGGGGGAGTGCAAAAAATGGGAAAGGATATGGAATACGGAACCTAAGACAGTCGTAGTAATAATAATGATAAAAACACATTTTAAAGCATTAAAAACTACAGCTTAATAATATAGATGGTATAGATATTACTTTTAGCTTATTTAATCTTGTTTATTTTACAGCACAGTCATCTGGCTTGGTCTGGAGTCCATTCCCCACGCCTTTTGAGAAGTGTCTTAGAAGACGGGTAGAATTTGATAAAAAGGCTTCAGGTTCAACTGTTAGCTATAGTGAGGCTGACATACATCAGACACATACCAACTGGGAACTGGTTCACAGGCATACCTTGGCATCAGAAAAGTCTTAAGGCCCCTGAATGGGTGGGACTTTTAAGTACTTTAGCAGGTTAGGTCACAGCATTTGCAATTCAAAAGCTGTACTGCAGTGCAGAGATACTGAAGAGATAAACAACTTAGTTTGGGTTCTAAAAGTCATTTCTCTGTGACAATCTAGATTTCAGATTAAGCTAATGACTTCTTATTATTACAAATAACGTGAGCCCATGCTTAGTCTATCCTGCCATGGCCGGGATAAATAAATAAATTTAATATTTATTTATTTAATAAATAATTTATTTTATTTTTATTTTTTTACAGTTAGATATTTTTCCTTCTCTGCAGTGAAACTCCCTAAGTAACGTCAGCAGTGTGTAGGGATCCATCTTATCTCATATGGTATTGGGCCCATAACTCTGCCATAGTAAAAGAAGACCTGTTGCCTCAGTCACAACGTCTCTCCTGGCAAATGCTTCTCAGGGGTTGTGATTCTCTTTCTAACATTTTAGATCGACTTGAGTCTTTCCAGTTAGAACAGACTGGATGAATTGACTCGAACGCCACCAAGGTACGTGTCTCATAGGGAACACTCGCTAAAGTGTTCCCCTTCATGTAAAAGGAACATATTTGCTGAACGCTTACCAAATCATGCTACAATACCAACGATTTCACTTTATTTGTCTTGGGCACTGAATGAACAGAGGAACTGAGGAAAAAATATGTATCACCCTGCTTTCAAGCTAGGGCTTTAGCTACTCTGCTATAGCTGCTCTACAATGGCTTTCTAGTACCATACACACTGGTCTGATCTGAAACCATCAAATATCCATTGGCAGTAAAAAAAAAAGCGAAACAGTTTATGTGAATTCACAGTCAGCAGAACAGCTGCTGCTACATCTATCAAAACAAAAACATGAGCTTGTAAATATGTAATTTTTTCTAAAGAGACAAACCCAGGTTCTTCATTGCCTTCCATGTCAGTCATGTGCCTTCTAGCTTTAAAAAAAAAAAAGATTAAAAAGCAGACTTGCAGCACTATCAAATCAGAGCAGAAGGATTTTGAATTTGGGTGTGGTGACTCGCATGGTGAGACTATCTTCTTGCACCACAGACTCCTAATTTGCTTTTATCAAAGCAACTACTTTAATAAAAAGAAGTATTTTTAGATGAATAAGTTATAACTTTGATCTGATCCAGCTGGAGAGCTCACAGAAAGCCCATATCCAGAATCACTCAGAGCAGTTGAGAGGGAGAGGGAGAGGGAGAGGGAGAGGGAGAGGGAGAGGG